CGGCCAGTGACCAGCCACGTCTCACTGGCCAGCTCCACGATCTGCATTGTTCGGGTGATCATCTTCTCTTTGTCCTCCACAAATGGAGCAGGGATGTCAGCTGCGTGCTGGAACAGCCGAAAACTGCAAGAGGAAAGAGCTGATGGTTAGCACCAGGCACAGGGGAGCCTCACTGAGCAGCACCCCAGTAACCCAGCTCAACGTGGGAGCTGGCTGCAGCAAGGTCCTTCAGGACAAACACACCCTGCTCCTGGGATGGGCTTCTGCTCACCTTAGTAGCTAAAAGTGCTGCAGTGCTTTCCAAACAGAGGAGAAAAGGGCAGGGAGAGAAGAATCACAGCCCAGATTGTGACACGGGAGGCAAAAAGCCAGCACAGTCTGTGAAAATCCCAGCACACAAGTGGGCCATTCCCCCAGCCCATCAGCAAACACCAGTCCTGCTCCTTCAGCTGCTTATGTCCATCTCCAGGCTACTCTGTTGTACTACAGGCACTGGATGGAGCAAGAACTCGCTGAAGTTTGTCATTCAAGGGACAACAGTGCACTCCCAGATGATGAATTTTGGATGCTGCTGCACCAGTACTGCCACTCAGCCTAACAGGCTCCCAGCAGATCCGTCCCCCCTTGGCAGGCAGGGCTGTGAGCTGTCTGGGGGAATATTTACTGAGATGATCTAGTTTTGCCTCAGCACACTCAGTGACAACACGCTGGTGGAACAGCACAGCTCACCCCGTGCACACTCACAGACTCCTGCCCTGGCCACGGCTGCGTTTCAGCAGCTCCTCCACCCACCAGTGTCAAACACAGGACTCCAGAATGGCTGAACAGGGCCCTGTTACCTGTTCAGGTGTGTCTTCACCAGATCTGCCAGGCTCAGGGCTGGCACAGAGAGCTCGAGCTCTTTCTGAAGGCTCAGGTAGACGCTGGCAAACAGGTCCTGCTTCGCGTACAGGAGGGAGCAGATCGTCCCCATCGTCAGGGGCCAGTTGTGCTGTCGACAAGTCACGAAGACGCAGCAGCCTCCCAGGAGCTCCTTCCTCTCCAGACTGACCAAGTGGAAGGAGGGGTGCTGCAGAGCTCTCTGGAAGTACGACACCGCCGTTTCCTCAAACACTGTTGGGAGCTGGAGGACTTTACAGAGATCCTGGACCCTCCTGATCCCTGTGAGAGGACAGAAGACACCGCCCTTAAAGATCAGCTCAAGCAGCTTCTGATATTATTCTGATATCTCCTCAATGTTACACTGCAGCCAGCATTCACCCAGCCCCGGGCAAAGGCAGGAGAGCCCAACTCCTGCAGACAGCATGAAAGTATCTCAGAATCCCAGAATTGCCTGGATTGGAAAAGTCCTTTAAGATCATCGAGTCCAACCATGAACCCAACACTGACAAGTCCCCGACTAACCCATGTCCCTCAGCACTATGTCTACACGACTCTTCAATCCCTCCAGGGATGGGGACTCCACCACTGCCCTGGGCAACCCCTTCCAATGCCTCAGAACCCTTTCAGCAAAGAAATTCTTCCTCACATCCCATCTCAACTGCCCTGGCCACAACTGGAGGCCATTTCCTCTTGTCCCTCCCAAGTCCCTTAGCCAAGCTGGGGCAGTTTGCCAAAGGCAGGTGCTGGCTGGACACAGAACTATTTGCCTATCTGCCTTCTTCAGGCTTTACTACCAGCTCTGAAGGCTTTTAGCATTCTAAAGAGCATTAGAAACACGTGAAACAAAGCAGAGCAGCAGCAAGAGAGAATCGGTGTGTGAAGGAAACCAAATGTCCCATCTTACCTCGCTGCAGGCAGCGGCTCAGCTGCTCCTTCTGGCCGGTGCTCTGGGAATAGGCAACCTCTGAAAAACAGTCAGTGTCAGGCCAGAGAACCTCACGGTGACTCTGGGGGATGGAGCCACTTAGATTTTGGGCAACGAGATGCCCATGGTACTGGATTTGAATGATGAGAACTGGTAGGTCTCTGGGGACACTAGAGGAGAGGTGGCAGCAACAGGGAGGAGCAGGATCACAGAATCACAGGATGTCAGGGATTGGAAGGGACCTCGAAAGATCATCCAGTCCAACCCCCCT